CATGACGTGGGCCGGCGCTGCGGGGAGGCGGCGGCGCCTGGGGCTGCAGGGGCTGATGCCCCCAGACCCAGCGGAGCCGTGGGCAGGGGAGGCAGCTGGGAAGGGGCTGGAGATCTGCAGCAGTAATCCAGCTGGGGGCCGTGGATTGCAGGGAAGCCATCAACAGACTGTACGAGGCGGTGCCAGGCGTGAAGGGCATCTGGAAGAAGAAGGTGAGTTTCCATCCGGCCTGTCCCTCCCGGGGCTCCTTCCTGGGGCGAGCCAGGCCTGCAGGGCAGGGTGCTGGGGGTGCCTGCCCAGTTCACAGGGCAGAGCCTCGGGTCTCTTGGGGCACCCCTCTTTGCCTCCTTCACTCCAGGAAACCTGGTCCTTGTGGGCTGCATTGCCCCCAAGGTCCTCTCCCTCTGTCAGGCTCCCAACAAAGCTCTCTTCTCCATCCTGGGCAAGAGCAACCTCCGCTTCGCTGGCATGAGCATCGCTGTCAACATCTCTGTTGATGGGCTGAACCTCATGATCCCCACCACACGCCAGGTGAGAGCCGTCCCAGGGGATGCAGTGCTGCCACCTCCCAGCCTTCTGCCTCCTGCCGTGAACTGGGGGGCGCTGAGCTAGTGGCCCCTGCGCTAACCCCCCCCACTATGGGCCGTGTCTGCTCCACAGATCATCGCCAACCACCACATGCAATCCATCTCCTTCGCCTCCGGTGGGGACACGGTGAGGCACGTGCACCTCAGCCCTGCCCTGGCTGCGGTCCCTCACGGGCAGCGGGGACAGAGACTGCTTGTCCTATGGCTGAGCCAAACTGCGGGGCAGCCTGGTCCCAGGGCAGGATGTGGGGCTGGGGCCGAGCCTGTCCCCTCACCCCGGTGACCCCAGCCCTGCTCCCCACGTGGCAGCGGACATGGGCCCTAAGCTCCCCCTGTGCCCCCAGGACACCACGGATTACGTCGCCTACGTCGCCAAGGACCCCATCAACCAGAGAGGTGATGCTGGCCCCCGTGCCTGGGAGCTCTGCAGAAGAGGAGGGATGCGCTGGGGGATGAAGGCTGGAGGAGGGGATTCCGCGTGGGCGGCATGAGGGAGCAGCTCAGAGTGGTCACAGAGGGGTTGTAGGGGCACAGGGGAAACGCTCGAGCTGTCCGTCTGTCTGTCCACAGCCTGCCACATCCTGGAGTGCTGTGAGGGGCTGGCGCAGAGTGTCATCAGCACGGTGGGACAGGCCTTTGAGTTGCGCTTCAAGCAGTACCTGCATAGCCCCCCCAAGGTGGTGGTACCCCCGGACAGGTAGGGGGGCTGAGGGCCCCGCTGGAGCCCTGTGCCCCCCGTCCTGGGCATGTCCCCGGGCTGGGGCTCGCTCTGGGAACCCTTGTCGCTGCTGGGCATAGGGAGGGCTCTGAGCCGGGCAGGGTGTCCCCAGCTTGCCCGTCCCTGCTGCAGGGCGCTGGGTATGGAGGAGTCGGCCTGGAGGGAGGATGAAGAGGCGGCCGAGCATGATTACTACAACAGCATCCCCGGGAAGGAGCCACCTCCAGGGGGGCTGATCGACTCCCGGCTCCGGCTCGGTGCA